AAAATAACAAGCCCAGGCCGCCTGACAGGCCTAATAGGCTTATTATCAAGATGCGGACCACATTTGTGGAATTTTACACTATGAATATGATATATTATTACATATACTACTTCTGTACTAAATATAATACCAACGCTTCTCAAGAGCGTGCCGCGCATTGTGTGCTTTGTTACATTAATTTTGTTATGGTCAAGATTTAATTTAAATTTATTTTACATTTTATTTTAGTTTTGATTTTAAGAGACATGTGATTTAAAATAAAGATAATTTTATAATTCTCACTTTTAAAAAAATCATTAAAATAAATGTACATGAGAATTTTTGAATTTGTATTGTACTTAGAAGTAGGATTAAACTCGTGGCCTCTCATTTATAAGAGAATATCAATGTTATTAGGTGACAACCTTTTTTTTTTTGTGAAAAAGAAAAGCTCCTTTAATTAAATCTTAGCAAGTCGACGGCATATAAAACTAATATATGAGTTAAAACAAAAATAAAGAAATCTTCCTCCCTGTAATTCTAGGCCTTTGGGCTCGCTGTTGTCTTACTAATAAATGAATAAAGAAGAAATCATCAAGTTTATCTCACTAGTATAAATTTAAAGAAACGATTTAAACTACCATTGACCAATTGCATTTCTTAAATATCATTTAATTTTTTAAATCGGTTGCTAAAACACGTCGTTTAAAATATAGTACTACCTGTGATCTTAATTATAAGACTCTATTTCTAGATTATAAACGAAGTCTTATAATTAAGACAGGAGATAATAATTTTTTAGACAGTTGGCATACATAACAAGCATGAAAGTCCGTTATTTTAGATCAGTTGTTAATGCATCTATTCTCAAAGCTTTAGCAAGTTAATGGCATATTATAAGAACATATGCCAAATAAGAAAACCTTAGAAACCTTAGACCAGCCATGGATATCAGGATATGTGATATAATGTGTGTGTGTGTTTTTAATTATAAGAAAATTTTATTTTAATTAAACATTGGTAAGTCAAGGGAGCATAAAATGGAAAAAATGACCAAAACAACCTTGAAAATAGAAAATTCTAAGAAAGGCAGCTAAAATGACAGGAAATGAGGGAAAACTGGAACTGGAATTATAAAAATCTGAAAAACGACCAATTTATCATTGTGTCAGTTTAAAAAAAATGACTATATTTGATCTGAAAATAACATAAATTAATAAGTTTGGAATACAGAATAACTTCATTTTCTGAGTATTGCACAAAGGCAAATTAGTTATTTTCCCAATCATAATTTCAGTTGAAGTTTTTCCTCTTTTCCTACTATTTGGAAGTGATAACCTTTTTTTTTTAATTTCCTATTTTTAAGATTCTTTTTGAGTCATTTTTCCTATAAAACATGCGTTAAAACAAAAATAAAGAAATTTTTCCATCCGTGATTGTAGACCATTGAGCTCGCTGTCGTAGCAATAAATAAATAAGGAAGAAATCATCAAGTCCCTCTCATTAGGGTTTAAAAAAATTTGGATTACCTTTTTAGAAACAATTTTACCATGTATGAGATAAGTATGTAAAAAAAAATTGTCCTAATTTACATAAAAATACTCTTTTTAAGTAATTTTGGGAGTAAGCAAACAGCAACATTTCTATTTAAACAGGTCATGGAAAAGAAAGTCTAAATATTTTTAAATATTATTTAATGTTTTAAATGGTTTTGTAAAACATATGGTCTAAAATATAAATTTTTTAGAAAATTAAGTTTTTAGTTCTTCAAGTTTAAACTGAGTTTTTAGTTTAAAAAAAACTTTAAACTTTCTTATAATTCAGTCCCGACTTAATTCCTGAACTTTTGACTGGCCTATGACTTCCTCATCTTTTAATTTTTTTTATATTACTATCTTCATTGTTTATAACTCTTCTTATCTCCCATGCTTGTCGGCAAAATCCTCATTAGCATCTTTTTCTTGAGCTTATATTGACGCCAAGCATTTTAGTAAGAGCAGTCAGTAAAATTTTACTCTTTTGGTGAAGGAAAAAATAAATAAATAAAATTGATATCCAACACCGTCCACAAAATTCCTCATCTATTAAGAAAAATATTGACGGACACAACAAATATTCAAGAAAGCCATTTTATCATTTACTCTGAAACCATTTCTTTTTGTTTTTAAATAAAAAATATTTTGGCCCAAATAGCTCTTAATTTGAAATATTGTCTTGAATGTGACATTCCATAAGAAGCTTTTAACTCAAAACTGTGCGAAGAGTATATAATAGAAGCATTTAAGTGGAATAACGCTCACCCATAACATGTGATATCATTTAAGCAATTACATTTACACAACATCAAATCCGGGAAATATAAAAATTCTACTTCAGCACAATTTCCACAATTTATTCACTCATTAACAGAGTCAACAGGAATTAAAAGTCCTTTTAAAAGAGTTCAGACCACAACTTCGAAGATTACGTAAATGCACAAGAAATAGAATTTGGACTTGACCAACAGCAGTAGCAGCAACGTCTCTTCTTGAACACGCAACATAGCAGTGGCACGAACAAACACATGATGAGGACTGCAAGAGAAAGTTAAAAAAGAATAGTGGGGAAGATAAGCCGCGTGAAACTATCCATGAAGAGAAGAATGGCGTTAAAGGTCATACCCTGATTTCGTTGAAACGGATGATCAGAAAGCCGATTGTTTATTCATCAGGCCAATAAACATTTGGTATGTGAGCAAGTCCTGGCCAATCCACACCCTTTAATTCCGGTCCGTATCTTTGCTTTAAAGCAGAGCAACCATTGACATGAAAATGTTGCAATGATGTGAGACTCTTTATTGAGTATGGAAGTGATGCCAAAGAAGTGCAGCCAGAGAGGTCAAGAGACAACAATGATGTGAGATTTCCAATGGACTCTGGAAGTGATGCCAAAGAAGTGTAGCCAGAGAGGCCAAGAGACTGCAATGATGTGAGATTTCCGATGTACTCCGGAAGTGATGCCAAAGAAGTGCAGTTAAGGAGGTCAAGAGACTGCAATGATGTGAGATTTCTGATGGACTCATGAAGTGATGCCAAAGAAGTGCAGCCAGAAAGGTCAAGAGACTGCAATGATGTGAGATTTCTAATGGACTCCGAAAGTGATGCCAAAGAAGTGCAGCAAGTGAGGTCAAGATACTGCAATGATGTGAGATTTCCGATGGACTCCGGAAGTGATGCCAAAGAAGTGCAGCAAGTGAGGTCAAGATACTGCAATGATGTGAGATTTCCGATGGACTCCGGAAGTGATGCCAAAGAAGTGCAGTCAGAGAGGTCAAGAGACTGCAATGATGTGAGATTTCTGATGGACTTCGGAAGTGATGCCAAAGAAGTGTAGCCACAGAGGTAAAGAGACTACAATGATGTGAGATTTCGGATGGATTCCGGAAGTGATGCCAAAGAAGTGCAGTCAGAGAGGCCAAGAGACTGCAATGATGTGAGATTTCCGATGTACTCCGGAAGTGATGCCAAAGAAGTGCAGCCAGAGAGGTTAAGAGACTGTAATGATGTGAGATTTCTGATGGACTCCAGAAGTGATGCCAAAGAAGTGCAGCCAGAGAGGTAAAGATACTACAATGATGTGAGATTTCCGATGGACTTCGGAAGTGATGCCAAAGAAGTGCAGACACGGAGGTCAAGAGACTGCAGTGATGTGAGATTTCCGATGGACTCCGGAAGTGATGCCAAAGAAGTGCAGCCATAAAGGTAAAGAGACTGCAATGATGTGAGATTTCCGATGGACGCCGGAAGTGATGCCAAAGAAGTGCAGCCAGAGAGGTCAAGAGACTGCAATGATGTGAGATTTCCGATGGACGCCGGAAGTGATGCCAAAGAAGTGCAGCCTGAGAGGTCAAGAGACTGCAATGATGTGAGATTTGTGATGGACTCATGAAGCGATACCAAAAAAGTGCAGCCAGAGAGGCCAAGAGACTGCAATGATGTGAGATTTTTGATGGACTCATGAAGTGATGCCAAAGAAGTGCAGCCAGAAAGGTCAAGAGACTGCAATGATGTGAGATTTCTGATGGACTCTGGAAGTGATGCCAAAGAACTGCAGCCAAAGACTTTAAGAGATTGTAATGATGTGAGATTTCCGATGTACTCCGGAAGTGATGCCAAAGAAGTGCAGTTAAGGAGGTCAAGAGACTGCAATGATGTGAGATTTTCGATGGACTTCGGAAGTGATGCCAAAGAAGTGCAGCCACGGAGGTCAAGAGATTGCAATGATGTGAGATCTCTGATGGATTCCGGAAGTGATGCCAAAGAAGTGCAGCCAGAGAGGTCAAGAGACTGCAATGATGTGAGATTTCCGATGGACTCTAGAAGTGATGCCAAAGAAGTGCAGCCAGAGAGGCCAAGAGACTTCAATGATGTGAGATTTTCGATGGACTCCGGAAGTGATGCCAAAGAAGTGCAGCCAAAGAGGTAAAGAGACTATAATGATGTGAGATTTCCGATGTACTCCGGAAGTGATGCCAAAGAAGTACAGCCAAAGAGGTAAAGAGACTGCAATGATGTGAGATTTCTGATGGATTCCGGAAGTGATGCCAAAGAAGTGCAGGCAGAGAGGCCAAGAGACTGCAATGATGTGAGATTTCCGATGGACGCCGGAAGTGATGCCAAAGAAGTGCAGCCAGAGAGGTCAAGAGACTGCAATGATGTGAGATTTCCGATGGACGCCGGAAGTGATGCCAAAGAAGTGCAGCGAGAGAGGTCAAGAGACTGCAATGATGTGAGATTTCCGATGTACTCCGGGAGTGTTGCCAAAGAAGTGCAGTTAAGGAGGTCAAGAGACTGCAATGATGTGAGATTTCCGATGGACTTCGGAAGTGATGCCAAAGAAGTGCAGCCACGGAGGTCAAGAGACTACAATGATGTGAGATTTCTGATGGACTCCGGAAGTGATGCCAAAGAAGTGCAGCCAGAGAGGTCAACAGATTGTAATGATGTGAGATTTCCAATGGATTTTGGAAGTAATGCCAAAGATCAACAACTATTAAGTTTTAGGGTCAACAAGTTATACAACTTGGTGATGCCTCGTGGGAGCTTCTTGAGTTTACGATTCCTACTTAAATCAAGATATCTTAAATGCTTCAAGTATCCGATACTCTCTGAAATTTTCAACTCTTGATCTACAAGAACCAATACACGTAAGTGCTTTGGAAGTGATGTTGTAGGCCCGCAAATTAGATTAAAAACTCTTGCCGAAGACTGACTCAAGTTAAAATCCAAATGTCCTTGTAGGAACAAAATTGTTCTCATTTTTTTGGTGTTGGCATTACCAAGTGAAAACTTGCAGGCACCATGAAAATGACTTGACATATGACGAATCCCATCACCAAATTTCTCTTCTTCTATTTTTTCACTTGTGACAATGTAACACTCATTTTTACTCACTGATTGTGCTAGATCATGTATGAGGTCATGCATCTTGCATGACCATATGTTACCAGAATTTTTTTCCTTCACATCTTGAAACAAGCACCTCGACAACAACTGCTTGAAATACTCATCACCAACATCTTCCAAGCGCCTACTTTTATCCAAGGGTTGAATGAACCCTTCAGCTATCCATAGCTGAATTAGTGTTTCTCTCTCAATCTCGTAATCTTTTGGAAACAAAGAGCAAAATGCAAAACAATTTTTCAAATAGAAGGGAAGATGATCATAACTAAGTTTAAGGATAGAAAAAATATTATCATTCTCATAATCTACATTTGCAAGTTCACGGTCCCTAAAAGATAACCACTCACTCACTTTTAAGGTAGCTTTGTTAAACAATAAGCTACCAATGGTTCTTATTGCAAGCGGAACTCCATGACATTTTCTCACAATATCCTTTCCAATCCCTACCAACTTGTGATCAGTAGGTTCTTTTCCGTCCCGAAAAGCCACTCTACAAAATAGCTCCCAAGACTTATCTTCATCCAAATCCTTTAAGGAAAGAGGTGGATTTGTGCCGATTGTGTCCGCCACTTCTGTACTCCGTGTAGTGACAATGATCATACTTCCTTTCCTTCCATCTTTGAACAAGTTTTCTAATTTAAGCCATTCCCCACGATTCTTAATATTCCAAACATCATCTAACACGAGCAGAAAACGTTTGTCCTTAATTTTATGTCTTAGTAGCTCGAGGGCACCATCAGATGTTTCCTTCTTAATGATCTTTTGAGCTAACGTGTTATTGGAAAGTTGATGGGATTCATCAGACACACAAACCCACATCATAGGCTCAAAATGATTTTTAGCAGCCACATCATTGTACACTTGTTGAGCAAGTGTCGTCTTCCCCAATCCTCCGATCCCAACTATGGGAATCACTGAGACATCATTTTTAACATCAGAGCTTAAAAGGGTACTAACAAGATGCATTCTTTCCTCATCTCTCCCGACAACATCTTGTTCGCTCACATCTGGGCCGGTTCGTCTCCATTCACAAGACTCATTCGGAGTGCTCGAAGAGCTCTTATGCAATTGAAGTGGATTCTTCTCATCATAAATCTCGTCTAGTTTCTTCCTAATTGCCCTAATCTTACAACCCATCTTATGAGCACAAACAAGTCGGTTTGATTTGGAGAAGAATATGCGTACCTCCTTTGCCATTTTATCTTTGGTCATCACTTCCCTTGCTAGCTTCTCAGCAGAGTAGGCATCCAACAAGTCTTCGGCATCAAGCAACATATTTCTCAGCTTTTGTAGCCAAACATTGATCGTTTCACTTGTCGTGGCCTTTCTCTCAGCGTCATGAAGCACAGCTTTAATTTCTTTGACTTTCTCCTCCATAGTCTCCAAATCATCTTGGAAGTTGCAAAGAAGGTCAAGCTCTTTAGCAGCTAAAGAGCCTAGTAGTCCAATGACATTCTGAGCAAGGGCTTCCATTGATGACCGATGGGAAACTCAAATGGGGTGTCAATGATAAGGAGAGTTATATGAATAAATTGTTGGGAAATATGTGTGGATTTCCTCCCAGCATATAATGAAGCGTTTATAATGATGTGTGTGTGTATGTTTATATATGTAGATATATATAGCCTTGTTTTGAGTGCTTCACGAGGACAAAAGAATATTTGATGCTTCTGCCATTCAATGAAGTAAAAGATCACATTCTTTTCCCCACTAATAATAATAATAATAATAATAATTTATTGACGTGAAGAAGATTAGCCAAAGAGAAACGAATAAAATGAATTGCTTTAGGATATAGCTTCATACAAGTCACGGATATATGTTCTTCAAGTTCCTACGATTGAATTTTTTTACTACTTCCAACACAAAATGCCAAAACTATAATAACGTTCTTAATTAAAGAGAATGTTAATGGAAAGTAGACAGTTAATTAGTTCTAAAGCCAGTAATGGAAAATTATTGAGAAAGGAAAGAATGAGAGACTCAATGTGAAAAAGAATGAAGACAAAAGCATGCTTATCTTATCGGAGAGAGAATGGTATTTTTTTGCCGGAGACATGAATTCTTATATTACCTCTGGTCCTAAATATAAGAGTTAATTGACTAATTTGAGAAGATTAAGAAAATAAATTAAGTTAGTTATTTATAATAAATAGATGTTGTCTTTTCTAAAATATCCTTACTAATTAAATGTATTGATTAGAACTACTATTATTACAAAGACTACTTTGAAAAAAATGCAAAAGTATAAGAAACAAAATGGATTGGGGTCTTATATTTGGAACTAAAATAAAAGTTAAATGAGATTTTATATTAAGAACCGGAGTTAGTACTTATCTTGCTCAAAGAAAACAATATGACCTCATCGTTCTGTGTCATGATATAACAATGAATATGTCGCATAAGATACTTATTTTGCTGTTAAATATCAAAATTGTATATTAGTGCTATATCAATGTCAATAACAAATTCAAATTCAAATTAAATTAGGGTTAAGGGACACATAGCATTTCAAACTATTTTTTTTATGTACATCTAGCATCCTAAAATATTTTGAGATGTATCTAACATCCTAAAATATTTTTTCAAGTGCATTAAATACCTTTAAGTATTTTTTGATACATTCAATATCTTAACATTTTTTTTTGGTTGCAATCAGCACACTAAAATATGTTTTGGTACATCCAACACCAAAGCAAAAAAATTTCAGGGGGTTGGACGCTCCAAAAAAAAAAACTTCAAAATGCTGGATAAATCACAAAATATTTTAGAGCACCCGAGAAAATACTTTACGATGCTGGATGTACTTTAGTCTATTAAATTATGGAAGAACGACAAAAAAGGAAATTAAAAATTACCAAATCTAAAATCAGGTTTAATAATAACAATTTATTTAATGTTGACAATATTGAATTTGCAAATTACAACAAATTTTTGTTGACATTTCTTATTTGACATTTACAAATTTTTAGTTATTTTTTGTCATTTTTTCTTAGATTAATAGTAGTTTAATCTTCAATATACAAACATATTCTTCTCTTTCTAAAAATACTTATTTTTATGGAAAATAACACTTGTTTTATAATATCTTCATATATATTCTAAATATTTTGATCGAAAGGAGTATGAATAACTTCATATTTGAATAGAATTTCATAACTTACTGATTGCTCAAAATTAGAAAATTAAACAATTTTCCTTTTTTTAATAATATAAACAATTTTCTTTTATGCGAAGCTTAAACAAATAATAGAGAAGAGGAACAAATAATAGAGAAGAGGAAGATAAGGATCCTTAATTGAATGATCCATGATGTAGCAGTGTTTTTTTCATTATTTTTATCATTTAAGAATTAAAATATTTAACCTTTGTTCATTAAATTCAAAAGCAGGTGGTAATGGAGTTAACTTTATACAAGTGACATTACATTCGAAGAAAACATGTAACATTAAGAGGAAAAATTCTGCCATTGTATAAATTATTGTCTTTATCGGATAACAAAGACATCAAGAAAAGAATACGCGTTGCTTCTGCCATTTTATTTTCAACAGGACAAATTCTTTTCTCTGTTTGAGATAAACTCTTGATGAGAAGAATTAATTTGTTTGAGAGAAAAGAATAACAAGATTCTCATGCCTACTTTAATAAATAATTTATACATTAATAAATAGTTTCATAAAAGTAAGGGGGTGTGTGTGAGAGAGAGATTTTCAAGTTAAAAATAGTATTTATTCATGAACTCTTTAAGTTATAAATCTGTTTGATATTTTTTGAATAGCAAAATTACAATGACATTTCTACTTTCGAAAAAGAATGTTGCAGGAAAATCACCTTTTTATGATATGCCTATATTAGGATCAGAGGAAGTGTGTGTATCAAATATTTAGATTTGATTTTCCAACACCATATATACAGGGATCTTCAAGCATCAAACAAGGAATCTCAAAGGCAGATTTAAAGTTTGTGCGAACTGTGAGACCCAATTATGAATATTCCCATATTCTTTATTCTAACAAATAATAAAGGACCTCGAAGAAGTGAAGGTAACAAGACACCAACTCTTTATTCCAAAAGAACATTTGGAATGTGAACAATTTTGAAACCCCTGCATGTACATGTGATACATATATTAGACTCTTTGTGGACGCTTGATGTGATGCCAAAACAGAGCACTTTATGAGTTTAAGCCTCTTTAATAATGACGTGACGCTGTTTATAGATTATGGAAAAGATGCCAATTTAGAGCATTCTTAGAAGAGTTCAATTAGTCTCTGTAATTATGAAGTGAGATTTGCTGTTCTATTATGAATCAAAATAACTGCAACCATCAATTTGAAGCTTCTCTAATGATGTTAGATTCTTTATATATCCACTTTGAAAACCTTGAAATATGCTCCATTAACAAAAATAGTTATATCATTATTATAATTATATGGATTCTTGTCTTTATCAACAAATGTTCTTCTCTGTTTTGTGGAGTTTTTTATGGAGATAACTTCCGCACAAGTTAATGAAACTGCAATTATATGGATTCTTGTCTTTATCAACAAATGTTCTTCTCTGTTTTGTGGAGTTTTTTATGGAGATAACTTCCGCACAAGTTAATGAAACTGCAATAATACTCATGAGATAAAAAAATGGGCTGAAGGGTTTTTTTTTTCCTGTTTGAATTAAGAAAAAGAGTAATTAAACGGAACAACTCAACATGCCAAAGCTTTTAGTGAAAGAGAAAACTTGGGTACAGTATTTACAAATATCTGCTGTCAAATTATTCTGTATGTAGATTTTCTTCAAGTTCTTGTATGCCCACAGATCATTGCCCAGGCAACCTCATTAGTTTGCCATTATGGTTTTAAAATTTTCTGTTCCTCATTAGAATTTCTAACAAATCACTTGAAAACTCACTACTAAAGAGGGAATATGGTTTTGGTGCACAAGACCTCTCAAAGGAATCTCTCAAACATAATTAAGGCAAACCCATGTCCATAAGAGATAAAAAGTCCACTTCACAATTTCAACTATTTAATTATTCATTTGGAAACACATGGAAAAATTAAACAGAATTAGTTTTGGGTAAAAGTCTTTTTAAAAGAATTCAAACCACCACCTGGAAGATCCTATAATGCACAAGAAAAATCCAATTGACTTAGATATAGTAGAAATAAAATTTGGACTTTATTGATATTAATATACAAAGAATTGGCATCCAACAAGATTTTGCAATGATGTGAGACGCTTTATTGAGTCTGGAAATATATCCAAAGCACGTAGCCCATCTTTGGCTTCTAGATACCCCGTTTCTCCCCTTTTTATATCTAAAACACCAAGCTGGCTTTAGGATTTGGAAACACGCGTTGTATGCTTGGTTGCATTAATTTTGTATGATCAAGATTTAATTTAAATTTATTTTATATTTTAAGTTAGTTTTTATTTTAATAGACATGTAATTTAAAATAAAGATAATTTTATAATTCTCACTTTTAAGAAAATCATTAAAATAAATGTACATGAGAATTTTTGAATCTGTATTGTACTTAGAAGTAGGATCAAACTCGCGGTCTTTCACTTACAAGAGAATATCAATGTTATTAGGTTACAACACCCTTTTTTTTTTTTTGCAAAAAAGAAAATCTGCTTTAATTAAATCTTAGCAAGTCAAATAACTCTTAGCAAGTCAACGGCATATAAAATTAAGATATGAGTTAAAACAAAAATAAAGAAATCTTCCTCCCTCCAATTTTAGGCCTGATTCTCATATATGTTTTAAGAAATAGCTGCGTACAAGTAATTAACCTCTATTAGGTTGTTCTATCTCGAACAAGTTGCCAAGATTTATGAAGTTCTGACAATTTTAATCAGTCCACCGGAATATGCCAAAATTACAATAACATTTCGAATGGGAATGTTATTGGAAACCAGACAGTTAATTGATCACTTGCATTGTAAAGCAACTTAATTAATTACAAGGAAACTAAAGGTTATTTCTATAAAACCAACAGTGGGATTAACCAGAAAGGAAAGAACAACTGAGATTCTTTATATTTCTCAGAATGAAAAGTTGAGACAAATATATGCTTATCCTATTCGAGCAAATTGTAAAATTTTTTATAGTTGTCTTGAGCGTGCAAGTTTCAAACATTCTAAATGATAGAAAAGAATAACAAAGGCGTTAAGAAGAGAATACATGTTGCTTCTGCCGTTTTCAACGGGACAAATTCTTTTCTCCGTTTAAGATAAATTCTTGACGAGAAGATTCACTCGTTTGAGAGAAAAGAATAAATACTCATACAGTAATCAATAGTTTCATGAGAGAGAGAGAGAGATTTTCAAATTTAAAATATTTATCTGTTTGAAAATTTTTTGACAGTTCTATTCAAACAGAAAATACCAAAATTAAAATAACATTTCTACTTTCTAAAGGGAATATTGTTAAAGGAAAGTAGATATATTCTTGATTACTTGAAAAGCATAGT